GTTAGTGTTGATCATTTTCGTCGTTGTTTGATGGTTGAGGATGTTGTTGGATAGAATTGATTGTGGAATTAGTATTGTTAACAGCCATTGTCGTGATTTATTGATGTCGCAGAATTGACATCGGAGAGAGGACCCATCGTCGATGAGGCTTGTTGTTGTTTATGTAGTTCGACCAGCTGAGAAGGGCCCATCGTGACTGACTCGACTGGCTGAGTGGATTCTTCCGAAGAAGTTAAAATGGAAGCAACCTCAACTGTGTTTTCTACATGCCGATGTGAGTTGACCAGCGATGGTGTATTAACATTTGGTAGGTCGACAGGATGATGATTTGGTAGTGAAGTTGTAGTGAGTTTTATCAAATGCTGTGGTCGAGCATGAAACAACCAAGAGTGAATTTCCACGCCGATAGGCCAATTTTCAGGATTGGTGAAAATCATCTTCTGATGTTTAAAAATAGTTATGCGGAATTTTGTTGATGGATCACTGGTTGAAGGTTAAGGACGAGTGGGAGAGAATTTAAAGACTAGTACGCATTCTGCTGCGGTCAGTCCAATAGTTTCCAGATGTTCTAGGATCTCTTCTTTGACGCAGCTTTTCAATTTACCTACCCCAAAAACAATTTTTTTGGGAGGCAAAGTGGATTATATATATATATATATATATATATATATATATGTATATATATATGCATATATATATATATATATATATATATATATATATATATATATATATATATATATATGCATATATCGATATATATATATGCCCATTCTGCATTTAGTAGTTTTTTATAGACAACTTCAACACGACGTAAATTTTTATACTCGTATTTATTTAATGTCATAATTTAATTAATGTTGTAAGTGTCAGCTGACAGCGCTGTTTCGGCTATTTAGCCATCGTCGGAGCTGGATTTAACATTTTAAGATGAAATTAAGTTAAGATTATTAAAATAATATTAAAGTAAATATTGAAATTATATTGGGTTTTAACAATGGTGTGAAACAATTTAAAAAGATTTAAAAAAACATATGAAACGTACCTTTAAACGAGGTTAAATAAAGGAATAAACATGATAATATATATATGTATACTTTCCTGTACATGAACAAAAAGTTGTCTTGGCATCAGTACAGTAGGAAAATAATATTTAAAGATTTTTTATGAAACGTTTAGGGGTCCCAACTTTTGATTAAAGTCTTACCTTATTTGGTGTATTTTAACCATTTCCTTGGTACAATCTAAATACGTACCAACTATAAATCATTGACTAAAATGCATTGGCAAATGGCTTAGCACCTAACTACAAGTGCTAAAAAAGAAAGGGAGTAAATTTTATAACGTTATTTACATGTGACGTCACCAACATTACCAACAAACCATGTGCTGGATTTTTTAGAAACAAGCAAAATATCTAATATATTATTTTGTAATTTTATTTTCTTCTTTGCAATAATAGATCTATAGTAAAATTCAAGTAGGCTAATATAGATGTATACTACAGTAGGCTATAGTCTAGACTGTAGATAAATCACTTCATTTAACATGTAGGCCTATTTATGAGAGGGCTAAAACATATTATAGTGTGTATAATTATTGAAATATTTATTGACTAAATTTTTAAGAAAAATTGTTTTAACAGCTTTTATTTATTGTAAACATAACTTGTTGTAGTTTTTTTTATTATTTTAGACAAATTATATTAAATATGGATAGTATGTGTACACGAAGTGCAACTAAACATCCATTGTTTGGACAGTTAGTTGATCTTCCTGAAAATCAAATCCCATCATATGAAGACGTTATTAAGGCGTTCTATTATAATCAGAAAACAGTATTAGAAATTAGCTTGCAAGAAAGATATTCAATTTTAGCAGACAGAGTGAAAAGTGTCTATTCAAAAGCAAGTATTCCTACAATAGAAGTGAATAGCACAATCATTAGGATTAGAAGACTTATGGATAAAGTACATACACTTGAAAAATATTCAGATGCAAAAAGAACATCAGATACGTTCACTGAGAAGTTGAATTCTTTTAAGCAGTTATTTGACATTTGTACCTGCAAATGCTTTGATTCGGGCATTAGAGATAGGAACTTATGTACGTGCCCACTGCCAAATAAAATTCCATTGATAAAGTGGGATTTCTGGGTTGAACAGAAAACTGTTAGAAATATGATAATTGGTGGAGTAGACAAAGAAACGACAGCAACACTGGAAAAGAGACAAAAACG